CAGGCGGGTCTCGACCCGCGGGCTCAGGCAATCCACTCACCTCAGCCTCCCAAAGGTGCGAGATTACAGGCTGAGCCACCGAGCCCGGCGATATTCCTATTTTTTAAATGAACAAACAGATTTAGAAAATAAGCAGTTTAAAGGGACTCAATTTATAAGTTGTGGAGCTAAAAGTGGGTTTCTACCTTATATAAAATCCCTGTTTTTTCAATGGGTTTCTTAGGAAATAACCCCATCATAAATAGAGGAACTCCTTAGGATGTATGACAGGGTTGCACTGTGAAGTCAAAAAATCCTAAGTCAAACCACCCTAAGTTAGGGACTGTGTTGCCAGCATTAAATGCATTTCCAACTTACAAAATTTTCTACTTAAATTTGGTTTTATCAGGACATAACCTCATAACAAGTCAAGGAACATCTGTATTCTTTTCAGTAGATCTTTCAGACTCATTTTTCTGATTTGTTGAAGAAGAAATTATATCAAAATAATGCCTAGATAACCTTCTAAGCAAACTTCTGGTTCACAGATAATAACTGCTCTTAAAAAATTTTACTTCTAATTGAAAGAACAGCCTAACTTCCAATGTGACAGTAATGTGATAATTCAAGCAAAATAAAAGTACAATCATACATACACTATAAATATCAATATCTCAAAAAGCCAGTATGCAGACTATGAGGAGTGAGTGATCTAATGTTTTAACAGTAGCATACCAAATACACTTGAAGAACAATTGATCTTAAACAACGTTTTGCATACATTAAAAATTATACAAGCCTGGCGCGGTGGCTCCTGCCTATAATCTCAGCACTTTTGGGAGGCTGAAGCAAGAGGATTGCCTGAGCCCAGGGGTTCGAGATGAACCTGGGCAACTTGGTGAGAGCTCGTCTACAAATAAATTGGAAAATTAGCCACGCATGGTGGCATGTGCCTGTAGGTCCAGATACTTGGAAGTCTGAGGTGAGAGAATCACCTGAGCCTAGCAAGTCAAAGCAGTGGTAGCTGTGATCGTGCCACTGCACTCTAGCCTGGGCAACAGAGTAAGACTCTGACTCAAAAAAATAAATAAAAAATACAGATAAACACTAAATGGAAAATTCAACTTACCTACAATTCACTTTTGATTTTCCACCTTCAAATTCAGAATTCTTCCCCCATCTTTTAGGTAATTCTAATACTGTAAGTCCTTTTACTCCTATAAGTGCTACATGATGTTGTGTCGGACTTAGTAAGACTTGATAGATTTCAAACAAGGGTGGATTTATGCAAAGCAATCTCTGGAAATTAAAGCAATAGTAAACCGGTTATTATAGTTGATTTTAATATAAATATATGTGGCAGTTACTGGAATCACAGTAATACTTTAGTTTTCTATAATTATAGAATAATGAAGTATTCTGGGTAAGTACTAACACTTGGACCATTAACTAATGAAATATCTTTAATCATTTAGATTGAAATTTTATATGAAATATATCAGAGACGGGGCTCAGTGGCTCACACCTGTAATCCTAGCACTTTGGGAGGTGGTGAAGGCAAGAGAATTTTCTGAGCCCAGGGGTTCGAGACCAGCTTGGGCAACTTGGTGAGACATCGTCTCTACAATAAATAAAAAAATTAGCCAGGCATGGTGGCAGGTGCCTGTAGCTCCAGCTACTTAGAATGCTGAGGTGGAAGGATCGCTGAGCCCAACACGTCAAGTCTGCAGTGGTGGTAAGCATGCCACTACACTCCAGCCTGGGCAACAGAGTGAGACTCCAACTCAAAAACAAACAAAATGCTTTGATAAATAGATACTGCTACATGTAATATTCCTTCTTACGATCACGCTCCAGTCTACCATTCCAGTCTTAACTCTCCACCATTCCTCACTTGTACTTTACACTCTAAACAGATTACCTTATATTTCTGGGAAAGCATCATGCTCTGCTATGCCTTTGTGCCTTTGCACATTTTCTTTTTACTAGCCCTGTAAGGAAATTACAAGGGCAGACATTATTCCTATTTTTAAAATGAGGAATTCTCTTGTTTTTCTTTTTTAGTGGGCTAACAAAACTTACACATTCTTGGAGACTGTCTCCCCAAGAAAACATCTCTGATCTTCTGGCCAGGAGTAAATGCATCTTTTCCATACTTATATAGCACACTCTGGATAATCTATTATAATTCTTATCACTCTGCATTCTAATAGTTCTTTTTACTTGCTCATCCCACACAACTGACTATGAACTACTTGAGTTGTGTCTTTCCTTTCTGTATTCTTAGCATTCTGGCATATTGCTGATTCTCAATAGACGCTGAGTAAATAGGTATAAACTCAGAAGTATTAAAAATGATAATTATCACATTATAATAGTATAATAAGATACAGAATGGCTTTAAGAGCTTCTGTGGCAAGCAGAATGCTGCTTTATCTATGCAATCTTAATAACAGTGATATTTTCATAGCTGAACCTCATGGCTGGGCACCGTGGCTTACACCTGTAATCTAAACACTTTGGGAGGCTGAGGCAGAAGGACTGCTTGAGCCCAAGGGTTCAAGACCTGCCTAGGCAACATATTGAGACTCTGTCTCTACAAAAAAATCCAAAAAATTAGTTAGGTGTGATGGTGCATGCCTATACTCCCACCTACTCAGGAGGCTGAGGTAGAAAGATTGCCTAAGCCTAGGAGGTTGAGCTGTGATCATGCCACTGCACTCCAGCCTGGGTAAAAGAGTGAGACACCAACTAAAAAACAAAAAACAAAAAAAAGTCACTACTCATGCTTTTTTTTACAAAGTCACAACTGTAATCCCAACACTGAGGTGGAAGGACTGCTTGAGCCCAGAAGTTTGAGAGTAGCCTGCGCAACATAGTGAGACCGTGTCTCTACAAAAAAATAAAAAAATTAGCTGGGCATGGCGATGCTGTCAGTAGTCAGCTACTCAGGGAGTTGAGGGGGAAGGATCGCCTGGGTCAAGGAGGTTAAGGCTGCGGTGATCCAGTCATGCCATGACACTCTAGCCTAGGCGAAAGAGTGAGACCTCCACTCAAAAAAAAGCTATAACTCATGATAAGCTGCTTTTTCCCCCATCACCACATTTTTAATATTCTAGAGGACTGAAGGTTATTCAGATAGTAACCAACATTTACTGAGAGCTTATATGTTCCAGGAACTCTGTCAAGTGCAGGACATACAAAAATGAGTAAGGCAGTCACAACTCTTGCCTTGGGGCCTTCAGTCTAGAAAAGAAGACAGACAATAAATAATTACAGTACTTAAATTATGACTGCACCAAAGGCTGCACAGCAGTGTAGGGTGTTATTAGAATACTGTGTGCTGAATACCTGATAATATACTTCACTGAAATGTTACAGTAAGAAGATTGTACACTCTTGACCTGTTTTCAAAAGTGCAGACGCACTGTTAGCATCTTGTTAAAATACAATCACTTCTCAGCAACAAGAACTGGAAAGTGGCACACAGTAGATGTCATACTTTAGAAATGGTACCAATGTTTGTTTACTTTTTAATCTTTAAAAGAAGAGAATCGATTTATTGCAGTAAACATTTCCATAAAGTCAGTATTTGATCACAGCAAGCTTGGATCACCTACTTTTCATGCTGTTGACTCATCAAAAACAAAAAACCCTTCCAACTTTGGGGATGGCCTTATTTTCGAAAAGCCAAAAAAAAAAAAAAAGATTTAACAGAGGCTTCCTTCTCTGAAACCTGCCGCTTTCAAATCTACTATCTGACTTGATGTGCACAACCCCGAGAGAAAGTTATGATTATACCTATTACTTTATGAGCGTCACGTCATGAAACAGGTTCCTCTTGACCAGCCTACTAAAAATAGCAACTCCGCCCATACGTTCTCAATCCCTTTACCCTGTATTGCTTTTCTTCAGAGCACTTAACCATCACTGACATTCTATTGACTATTCCATGATCCCTCCCTTACTCTCAGATCCCCAGAACTCAAGCATCTAAAGAGCATGAATTCCTGTAATAGTGTCTGGCAGTGTCGGAGTCAGTACACTTGAATAGCACGCCTACCAGAAGATGAACAGCCAAGACGGGAAGGGAACGCAAAAAAAATTATTCCGTTCCCTGCTGAGAGTCACTTCCAAAATCGGCCTGGCCGTACCTGGTACTGGGAGAGGGAAGGCTCCTCACCGCCGCCGTTGAGGCTCCGAAGGCGAACGACTAAGAAAGAGCTGGCTTCTCCGTCCCACAGGAAGAACTCTCCGCCGAGGCCAAAGACCAGGTTTCTTGTCAGCAACTGCGGCGGCAGCGGCGGAGACGAAGGCAACGATGAAGAATCTGGTTTCTCAGCTTCGGCTGGGCTCTGGTTTTTCAGTCCCTCCCGGAGCCGCGAGAACACGACATGGTTAGGAAGCCAGGTCTGCCACAGCTCCCCGTCACCCACCGGTCCCTCAGCAGCCGCCATCTTGGCCCAAGTGCTCTCCTCACGCCGGTTGCTCAACCAGCTGCTGAGCGCAGCCAATCTGCGGCCAGCCGTCCACTGCTTCGGCCAATCACAGGGCAGGCGGCCCGGAAGCACGAGAGGCTCGCACCAGGAGCGGGGCAAAGGGGAGGCCAGCCCCTCAGGCGGGGGCATCACTCGAGGGAAGACGATCGCCAGTCCTGCATTTATTCTAAAGCCGAAGGGGGCGGGACGAGAAGTCAACCGTGCAACCCTTGTAGAGAGAAAGCACTGGTATTGCCGGAAGTCTAGTACCTGGGGGAGAGACCGATACCTGTGCATCTAATTGCCAATTGGACACAATTGGACACTTCCGTCTGGGTAAACCCAGGGTCCAGACCTTTCCCTCAGACTCATCACCTTCGGTCCAGGTTGGGTTGACCTCACAAATGTCACTACTTCAGCCACCCATCCTCGAGTTGTCTAATTTTGTCTCCGTGTGTGACAGGCAGGTAGGAAAACAGTTCCCAGAATTCCCTGCGACCTAGGCGCGGCCAGCGCACAGAAACTACAATTCCCAGAGTTCTTTGCGCGCTCCTCGGGGTGGGGTTTTTTGGCGGAGACTTACGCGAAAAGGAGATGGCAGAAACTTCCAGGTCTCGACACCGCTCTCTGTACAAATTGGTGGGCTCGCCGCCTTGGAAAGAAGCATTCAGGCAAGTGAGTGTGAAGTTTGGGCCGTGGTCGCTCCCGTAATCTGTCTCCGGGGACAACCCTGCTCTGTGAAGCGGGTGCCGAGAGCGCCTGACCGGTGGAGGAGGACCTCGAACACTGGCCTCCTGCCTGTAGGTCTGGGTCTTGGGCACCCCAAACTCCTCCGCCGCCTCCCGGAGTTTTTGCTGTGGGATTGGCCTGGGTAGGCCCAGTCCCAGGAAACTTTGTTTTAGGAATCGAGTGTTTTAAATTTGCAAAGTGGCCACGACCGCACCGTTTGCATCTCTGCAATAACCTTATTACTGTTGGGTAGGTGGGCGCCGAAAGAAGCACTTTAAGTATGTCATGTGAGACAGAAATTATTTCTTTTCTAGAAAGTAGTAAGTTGAGACTCAGAAGGCCCAATTACTAAGACTTAGTAGAGTTGTACTCCATCTCAAATCTAGCGTCTTCTGAACACAGCATGGTTGCTGGTACTTAATGTTGTCTGTCTCTCCAGGAATTTCGAAAGTAGTGGATATCCCAAGGAAATAATCTGACACCAGAAAGATTGTGTACAGCATGGTTGGCTATTGACTTTTTTTTTTTTTGGTATTAGAGTCTCACACTGTCGTCCAGACTGGAGTGCAGTGGCCGCTCCCGGCCACCGCAGCCTCATCCTGCTGGGCTTCGGCGATCCTTTCGCCTCAGCCTTCCAAGTAGCCGGAACTACAGGCGCGCGTTACCACGCCCAACTTTTTGATTTATTGTACAGACGAGGTCTCACCAAGTTTTCCGGGTGGATCTCGAACCCGCGGGCTCAGGCATTCCACTCGCCTTGGCCTCCCAGAGTGCTGGGGATTACAGGCTGAGCCACTGTGCCCGGCCGGCTTTTGACATTTTGTGGGAGACCGTTCTTTGTTGTGGAGGGCTGTTCTGTACACTGTAGGATGTTTAGTAGCATCCCTGGTCTCTACCCACTAGATGCCAATAGTCCTACGGCTAGAGTTGTGACAACCAAAACTGTCTTCAAGCATTGCCAAATGTCTCCTGGGGGGAAAAAAACCACCCTGAGCAGACTGGGCGCATGGCTCACACCTGTAATCCCAGAACTTTGGGAGCCTGGGTAGGAGGATTGCGTGGCCCAGGAGTTTGAGACCAGCCTGGACAACATAGACCTCATCTCTACAAAAAATTAGCCAGGCGTGGTGAAATGCACCTGTAGCCCCAGCTATTCAGGTGGCTGAGGTAGAAAGGTAGCCTGAGCTCAGGAGGTCAAGGCTGCGGTGAACCAAGATCACAGCACTGCACTCCAGGTTGGGCAACAGAGTGAGACTCCCAACTCAAAAACCAAATAAACAAACAACACTACCCTAAGTTTAGAAAAATGGTTGTACAAGAAGGCTTTTACCACATAAGTCTACAGTAGTAAGAATTTGGTGGAAGCAAAAGATAGTGGATGCTGCTGAACTATTATGCACACAACCATTAAGGAAGCTGACATTGAAGATAGAAAATGAAATATGATGATCTGGAAGTATAAGAACAAAACATTGTAATTTTATGTATCTCTATAGGGGATTATGCAAACATAACAATAGTTAGGATTATAGTTGAAATTTTGTGTCTATAAATTTCCTTTTACATTTTAACAACTAAGGATTTAAAAAAAAAAATAAAATTGCTTCCCCAATCCTGTATACTCCCCAATCCCTGCCCGCATCTTCCTCTTTTTTCCAAGGGATGCCTAGAAAGAATGAGAAACAGCCGGGACAAGCTCCTAAACAGGTACCGCCAGGCTGGAGGCAATATGCCCGTGGGAACTCAGAACACCTTTCTAGTGCAAGAGGTGATGGAAGAAGAGTGGAATGCTTTGCAGCCAGTGGAGAATTGTCCAGAGGCCTTGGCTCAGGTCAGGTTGGGCTATGTGTTTTCAGGGAGGGGAACTATACTACCAAGAACTCCTAGTGTCCTCTTTGTACCTGTTTACTCAAGTCCTCCTTCAGCCCCCATTAGAATTCTCACAGCTTTTAACCAGACTCTTCTACCTTTTACAATATACTTTCCTAAATCAGTGGTTCCTAAATACCAGACTCTAGTCCTCCTGCATCACTGCAACATCATCATTATGAAACTAAAAAGAAGTGAATTTCATTTCTTGTCTCTACCCTTGGAAATTAGTAGGCATGAGCTAGAAATCGCCCTTTAAAAAAAAAATCTTCAGGAACTTTCTGATTCTAATCTCAGCCAGATTTGTGAGCCGATTATGGATGGGAAACTATTTACAAAGTCTCAGGAAGAGCACATGGAAGTCAGGAGTTCTGGAATTCTAATCCTGGTTTTGCTATTGACTCTTAACTTCACTCTGCCCCATTATTTTTCCATTTATAAAATGGACAAGATGATGTTGTCAGCATTGTGAGGACTACATAAGAAAGCATGTGGAGGCTGGGCTCATTGGCTCAGCCTGTAATCCCAGCACTTTGCAAGGCTAAGGCAAGTGGATTGCCTGAGCCTGTGGGTTCGAGACCAGCCCGGGCAACTTGGTGAGCCCTCTTCTTTACAATAAATAAAAAAAAAATTAGCTGGATGTGATAGCACGCGCTTGAAGTTCCAGCTACTTGGAAGGCTGAGGTGGAAGGATCGCCGGAGCCCAGCAAGTTGATGCTGGGGTGGCTGTGAGTGTGCCACGACACTCCAGCCTGATGACAGAGCAAGACTACGACTCAAAAAAAAAAAAAAAAAAGAAAGAAGGAAAGCATGTGGGAAACTGCTTTGAAACCATCAAGGCACTATATAATAATAATACATTTTTCAGTGGCTTCTTTCTATGTGTCCTATAATATGCCATTGTTTGCCTTACATCACCATAATTAGTGCTCATGATGACCCTCTTAAGTAGGTTTTATTCCCACTTTACAGAGGTTGAAGCTGAGGCTTACAGATATTAAGAACTTTTCTATGGTCATATAGCCTTGGAAGAACACATATTTAATTGCCACTCTAGACTGCCTCCTCAAAAGTCGATCCCATTATTTTGTCACTGAGTTGTTTGATCATTTGTTGATGACTTCTCAGCATGACCACATTACCCTATTGTCAGTGTATTCTGTAGGAGGACTGGAGTGATTTTGTCAGGTAAATCTGGGTTCTTCAAACCAGCCTCCAAGTGTGAGTCTATGTGGGGCTTGGTGGCTGATAAGTACTTCATACTTCTGATGACTCCACTTTCTCTTGCAGTTAGAGGAGCTGATGGACCTGGCTTTGCTGGAGGAAATCCAACAGGAATTGATTGACCAAGGTAACTCCTAGGAGTAGTCCTTCCTACTTATAATTAACTGTGACCTTTCCTCCAATCAGGGTTAGTTCTTAACTCCCTTTCCTTTGTCTCTATCTTCAATTAAGTATGTGTGTACTCTGAAGTCTTGTCTGGGCTTGGTGGCTCAGCCTGTAATCCCAGCACTTTGGGAGGCCAAGGTGAGTGGATTGCTTGAACCCGTGGTTCGAGAACAGTCCGGGTAACTTGGCGAAATCTCATCTCTACAATTAAAAAAAATATATATATATATTAGCTGGGCTTGGTAGCATGCACCTGTAGTTCTGGCTACTTGGAAGACTGAGGCAGAAGGATCGCTAGACCCCACCAAGTCGATGCTGGGATGGCTGTGAGCATGCCGCTGCACTCCAGCCTGGGCGACAGTGAGATGCCAACTCAAAAAATAAGAGGTGGGGGAGTCTCTGGGTGCTTGACTTTATGCTAAGAACTTCTCATTTCATGGTACTGTTTTTTTCGTGTGACTGTCCTACAAGATAGTATTATTAGCTATTAGAACAGAAAGTGATGTTCTCATGCAGGGCATACAACTACTAAGTGGTGGAGGTGGGAAGCAACATCAGTTGTGTGAATCCAGTTCCCATGTTTTTTCTACTATGCTGTCTCTCTATTAATAGGTTAATAATAAACCTGCCACTTTATGGGATACAGTACATGGTTGAATCCCTGACTTATCCAATTTAAGTGCCATCTTAAATTTTCTTCTTCTGTCCATTCTTAACTAACTCCCCAGTATCTTGTGAGCATTCACTCCTTGAGGTGCCCATAGCACTGTGTAGAGTGCATAATTTAGCGCCTTATATAATTAAGCCATTTATTCCACATAGCCTTGTTTTTACTAGGCTTTTTTTTTTAATAGAGATAATATACCTACCCTTTAAGTTTGTTGTAAGGTTTAAATAATATGTGTAGAAGATTTAGAGCAGTGCCTGTAATATAAAAGCTTCCAGTAGTCACTAGCTATTGTTATGGGGTGGCAAAAGCATTTATTCTTGAGCCACACCACTAAGAGTCACTTCCCAGTTTTACCACTTTAACTTGTGAGGCACTGAACAAAGCATTTAATTTCCCTGTGCCTCTGTTTCTTCATCTTTGAAATAAGGATAGTAATAGTGAAGAAGTTAATATATTTAAAGGACTTAAAATAGCATTTAATACATAGTAAGTGCCATGCAAGTGTTCACTGTTGTTACAATTGTTGTTATTGATCCAGTTAGACTGTAAATTTCTTTAGGTAATATCTTTTTTTAATTGATTTTTTTCCCTTTTCCCCAACTATAAAACCTATCTTAGTGGTGAAACTAAGACTCAGTAAATTTTTCTTTTGGGGTATATTTAACTAATGAAAGGATTTACTGTGTTGTGCTATGCTCAGTCATAAGGAACATTTCCAAAGCGGGGATTGGCAAATTTTCTTTTTTTTTTTTTTTTAATTTTTATTGTAAAGATGTGGGCACAATTCAGGGTTAGGTATATAAACATTGATCATGCAGGTACCGGCAAATTTTCTGTAAAGGGCCAGGTAGTAAATATTATAGACTTTGCAGTCTGTATCTGACACTACTCAACTCTGCTGTTGTAGTGGAAAACAGTTATAGACACTATTTGTTTACAACAAATGAGTGTGGCTTTAGTTTGCCAACCCCTGTCCTAATATCTAGACTGTGAGTCATCAAGGGCAGAACAGTCTTTTTCATCTTTGTATCCCTATGACTAGCACATACTAGGAACTGTTGCATGTTTGCTGAATGAATGAACACATGGATTCTGAACAATACAGATTCCGAGTATATGGACGTGGGAAACAGATCACTTTAGACTCATAGGGTGGGCCTGGTGTCAGAAGTAAGTGCTCTGCAAGTGTCAGCTTTCTCCATTGCACCTTGGTATCCTGACATTCCACATCTCTGTTCCTATGGCCTCCAGAGATACGTATGAAGTTGTCTCCTTGTCCCTTAGACTCTTTACTTCTTATGCTCACATGGAAGGAACAGAGAGGAGAAGGGACCCAACAAGATGAAACTAGCCTGAGAGAGCAGTACATACCATACTGGTAGTGTAGTTTGGCCTGAATCTGTCTCTTGTATAGAGTAAGCCTTTGATGACATTAAATATAGGCAGCCTAAGTGAAGCATGCTGAAGCACTCCAACTGCATTTGCCTTACAGAACAGTCTGTTATCAGTGAGTATGAGAAGAGCTTGCAGTTTGATGAAAAGTGTCTCAGCATCATGCTGGCTGAGTGGGAAGCAAACCCCCTCATCTGTCCTGTGTGTACAAAGTAAGACTTTTTAAAACCTTTCTAGCATTGCTTTCCATCCCCTATTCCCTTGTGAGTGGAATCCTCCCCATCCTCCAAATTTTTTGCCTGAAAAGATTTGGAGATCCAGGTCTGGTGATCATGATGCTCTGGGATCCTAATTCTGCTTCTAGGTACAACCTGAGAATCACAAGTGGTGTGGTCGTGTGTCAATGTGGCCTGTCCATCCCATCTCATGTGAGTGTTCCACATGCAGATTTTGTGCCACCTCTTCCCACATATGTCTGCTTTCTTGAAGAACCCCAGTGGTGGCCTGGAGCCATTTGTGCATCTCTCTTCCCAATTTTGTGTTCAATGATGTCACATTGGTAGTTTTCAATCATCCTTAGTGAAAATATATAACACATGAAAATTGGCAAACACTACATATCAGGGCTTTTACCACCCTAGAGAGCCACCACTGCTTAAGATCTTTATGGAGATCCCAGCTTAAGATTGGAAATGCCTGTATCTGATGCTTCATTAAATTTTCAATATTTGAAGACATACCTAATTCATAATTTAAGCTCCATTGATCTTAAAATACAGAAGAAGCCCTCTTATCTGACATGATAGGAACTGCAAGTTTGCCAGCTAACTGAGAAGTTGGTTCAAACGGCAAATTATAAAAATGAACCAAGCCGGGCCCGGTGGCTCAGCCTGTAATCCCGCGCCTTTGGGAGGCTGAGGTGAGTGGATTGCCTGAGCCCGCGGGTTCGAGACCCGCCTGGGCAGCGAGACCTCATCTCTACAATAAATCAAAAAATCAGCCGGGCGTGGTAGCGCATACCTGTAATTCTGGCTACTCGGAAGGCTGAGGCGGAAGGATCGCCGGAGCCCAGCAGGTCGAGGCTGCGGTGGCCGGAAGCGGCCACTGCACTCCAGTCTGGGTGACAGAGTGAGACTCCAACTCAAAAAAAATAAAATAAAATAAAATAAAATAAATAAAAATGAAACATTTTATAGTAAGTTTCAAACGTACAAATTTATTTGCCACTCTTTGATTAGAGAGCCAAATCATCTTTTTTACATAAACAACTTCTATAAAACATAGTTCAGAGTTTGCAGTTTTGTTTCTATAAAAACAAAACTGTGGATCAGAAAGCTCAATATACAATTTTAGGATTTTTCTACCCCATTTTTTACTTAATTCAGCAGCTCTTTTTTTTATAAGCAGCTCATCTTTTTGAGTGTTTCCTGAAGTTTCTGCTTATTATCATAAAAGCAAAACTTTGTTTTCATTCCCCTGTATCATTGGTAATATGTAATTAAATTACTGAGTTACAGTAGCAAGTTCAATGAGCACAGACAGATCTGGAGCAAACACTGCTGGTTCTTGGGAAGGATACACTCAGCTGGTGGGGGCAGAAGCAGAAGGAGGCCAGAAAGTAACCTACTATCTCTGAGTGTTCTTGTGCCATATGCTTCAGTCATTGTGTTTTTAGCAGGAGTGGAGAGCATTGGTTTAATCTGAAGCAGCACTTAAATGGAGATTGGTTAAGGATCTTAGTACACTCATGGCCCCAAGAGTGTCTTTACAACTCCATGGAATCAAGCCATCACAGTGAGCCAGAGTTATACTGATTGTCATAGGGAAGCAGGATTTGCAACATGTTAACTATCAAGTCACTAAGATTAGGTCGTGATTCAACTTTATTTTTTAGTCTCCACAGCTGACAGAGCAGAAGATCCGTTCCTCTTTAGAGGATAGTGTCAATGAGCACAGCACACATTGTCCCTACACACCTAAATTTTCAGTCACTGAAGAAGGAACAGAAGAAAAATCCAGTCTTCTCATGAGTTGTCTGGTAAGATTCTCATGGGACCCAATCCATGGTAAGAGGGGGTCAATGGTTGATTTTATTCCCATATTAGTAGAAGTAATGGCTTAAAAACAGGTAAACATGCAATGCGGTTCATTTTCTGAGGCATTTACTTGCATAGAAAAGTGAAGGTCACAATGATTCCCTGACAGGGGAAGGGAAAAGGCAGCATATGATTGTGGCAGGAACATTGGTCTGGGAATTAGGAAGTCTGGCAGCACTGCCTGCTCCTATTAGATCAGCAGCAGTGAACTTGGATTCACATGGTCATTTCATAGTCATAAGCCCAGATAGGCCATCGTGGCACCACTTTTGCAGAAGGAAACAGGACAGGACACACAGCAAGGCAGCATCAAACTTGTCTCTCAGCAAGAGTCTTGACAGAGGTCCAAGGGTTAGTCTGTAGCTGGAGTAGTGACTCAGGTGTGAGGGACAGGACCACACAAGTGGATATATTGAACCACCTGACTTAGAAGTCTTGTTATGGGAACCCCAGTATCTCTTATAATAATCGATGTAATATATACATAATGTAATCAATGTGATACGTATCAGTATACCTTCCAGGTCCCAATCATGGGTAACTTTGGAATTAGTAGCACACTGCTTTGGGAAGTTTTTTTTTTTTAATCCTCTTTTAATTTTTATTTTAAAATTGTGGGGTACAGTTCAGGGTTAGGTATACAAATATTCATTGTGCAGCTACCCTTATTGATGAGGCATGTCCCCCCTTCCCCAGGCAGATATCGACTACTGTCAATTCCACTCCCCCCACCCCCCTGCTTTGGGAAGTTAAAAGCCATGGCTTCCTCCTGGGTAGAGTTCCTTCTCAGTCCTCTCATTCCAAATGCAGTTTGCCTATAGGGATCATTTTTAGTATGAGCAGTATTGTCTAGCAGCACATCCATCACTTAACCTTTAGCAAGTTTCTTTCATTTTATTAAACTCTACTCGTTTAAAAATAAGTATTGAGGACTTATTTAAATTTAGAAATGCACATCTCTCCCAGAGCCCAAGTCTCAGGTTGCTAAGTGAACGTAATAAACAGGTAGGAGGGCTATAGAGGGAGGGTTTGTGGGAGTTCAGAGGAGGGTGATCTCATTTATGCTGTCGACTGACTTGAGTAGGCATTTAACTTTGACTTTGAAGAATGGAATGGGATCTGGACATGTAACTATGGCGAGTTGTAGGAGTAGAGCTTAAATAGAAAATCCCCATGCAGAACAAGGTTGAGAGGCAGACAATTGTGGAGTGTCCACAAAGAGCATCATTCTGCTTAGCTGGATTCATAGGGAGAGGATAGTTCCTGTTAGGAACAGGAAACAGATTCAGGTAAGTGAAGTAATCTGGCCAAAGTTGCACTGCTAATAAAAGATAGAGCTGGGCTGGGTGCAGTGACTCATGCCTGTAATCCCAGCACTTTAGGAGGTGGAGGCGAGAGGATTGCCTGAGCCCTTGGGTTCGAGACCACCCTGGGCAACATGGTGTAACTTCATCTCTGTAATAAATCAAACAATTAGCTTAGCGTGGTGGCATGCACCTATAATTCCATCTACTTGATAGGCTGAGGCAGAAGGATTACTTGAGCCCAGCAGCTCAAGGCTTTGGTGGCCATGAGCATGCCACTGCACTCCAGCCTGGGTGACAGAATGAGACTCCAAGTCAAAAAAAAAAAAAAAAAAAGAATTGGTATTGCATCCCAGGTGTCTCTGGATCCAGTGCTCTTCTGTTTCCTTCTCTAGGCTCAGACCTTGGAGAAAGGATATTGTCTTCCTTCAGTGTATACGGAAGGAGACATAGTAGGTGAAAATTTAAACAAAACTTCTCACTACTTTCTGTTAATGTCAGGCATGTATACCCCTCTGCTTCAACCGTCCTGCGCTGCTTGCAGAGTCTCAAACACAGGTGCCTTCAGGCCTTTGTTCATGCTGTCCTGTCTAGAATACCTTTGAATCCTCCTACTCTGCTCAAGAATCATTTGCACAGATGTTTATTGAGCACTACAATATGCCAGATATTCCATAAAACCTGACTCCTCACAAAGAATTGGCCAGTCTCTCCTTGGGCTTCCACTGTATCAGATGCCATGTCACGTATAGCACTATTGCAGTTATCTGTTCATGTCTTGTCCTTGAGGGCAAGGGCTTATCTTTTACTCCCAGTGCTTGCCACATAAGTCAGTGCTTAGTATGTTCATACAAATGAATTAAGGTGGAGGGAGGAGAGTTGAAGAGGCACAGGTCAGATGGCTTGGGCTTCTGCCTTCTTAGTAAAATGAACAAGTGAGTCATCCACAATTATGGTAGCAGAGCTAGAGTGGAGCTTCTTGAAGTCTCAGACCAAGTGCTGGAGGTGATGGGAAGGGCGATTAAAGAGGTAGTGAAAGACCGCCTAATTGCTGAGTTGACAGCAGTGGCTCAGCATATATTTGTCACAGACCACAGTTGTCCACTCACCTGACCATCAGTGTCCTGTAGCTCAAAGCAGCAGATGTCAAGTGGTGGTTAGGTTTGGAAGGTGAGTGCTTTACAGCATTACTAGGGAGAGCATGATTGACAATGCTGGCTCTGGGGTGGGCAGAGAGATCATTTTTGGGTAAGGAGGGGAAATAACAGAGATGGGAAACAGAAGAAACAAAAATTGTATTCAGGTTCCCAGAGTTCAACATTTGAAAGGAAGACATTTGGAATGCTTTAGTTTCTAGTTTCAACATGCCCTAAGACCTTTGGTTTTCACTTTAGGGGGAACCAAGAACCATTGGGTTAAGATCCAGTTGGGTCAGGCTGTAAATTATGTTGAATATGAGGTAGAAGCAGCTAGGTGTGGGTTACAGAAGATGGCAGTATATTACAAGGACTTGGAATATTTGAGATCTGACAGTGGTCAGCATGGTGCTGGAATATGCTAAACCATCTAATAGCAGGGTTATAGTGCCTTCCAGAGAAAGCCAAATACATTATCTATGGAAGTCCAGAGTCAAGGTTAAGGACAGAGGATTCCTTAGTGCAGTGGGGCTGAGCCCTCAGGGAATCAGGAACCAGTTCTATACTCATAGGTGCTCACTGATCACTTTACAGATAAAGGGAGGATATGGTAGAATAGGCATTCAAGTTGTTACTGCCTATAGTGAGCATACATGGTTCATTCCTCCCCCATAATATATGCCTGTTTCAATCTTGTGTCACACTGAAGGCATCTCACTTTCCTGCTGAGCTCTAAAAGCTCCAAGTTGTCAAGCTTGAATAATCATTCTAGTTACTGGTTCCCTGAAGGTGAGGACATTTGATTAGCTTCTCTCCAGAATCTGATATTAACTTGACTACATTGCTGCTGATGGTTCCCAAGGCAGGTGTTTGAAGGTTGCAGGACGATATAGCAAAGCCCACAAAGGAGGGCTTGTCAGTGGCTTCTGACAAACGACACTGAACTAATTCATAATTCTAACTGAATTTGGGAAGCATCATCAAATGTATAGGCATACTAATTTATTTCAATGGAAAGCTTCAGGCAGTATAGTGAAGTGGCTAAGTCTGTCTTTATTTATTTTTATTTTTTGAATTGGGGTCTGTCTCCCAAGCTGGAGTGCAGTGGCATGATCACTCCTCACTGCAGCCTTGATCTTCTGGGCTCAGGCCATCCTGCCTCAGCTTCTTGAGTAGCTGGGACTACAGGCGCATGCCACAACACCTGGCTAATTTTTTATTTTTTGTAGAGACAAGGACTTACTGTGTTGCTCAGGCTGGTGTTTAACTCCTGGGCTCAAGCAACCCTCCAACCTTGGCATCCCAAAATGCTAGGATTACTGGCATGAGCCACCACACCTGGCTGTGATCCTAATTATTGCTTACAACTTTTAACACAGTAAGATAATTTTCATGACTGCAAAACAATTTAAGCCAACTTTTTTCCTATTTAAATCTAGGCTTGTGATACTTGGGCAGTGATCCTCTAGAGCCAGCCTGGACTCACTGTTCGACTGGATTGAAAACGACTCATTTCCTCTGAGAAGGACCCTTGTATGTGCAAGACTTTTATTTATAACTTATGTTGGATTAAAACTTTTCAAACATCTCTGCTGTTGGTGTTTTGTGATGCAGGTTGAGGGGGAAGGAATAGAAATGGAAAGGACAAAGTACACTGAAGGAGATAAACCAATTTTACTGTCCATCATTATGTTATACAAAAATCTAGAAATAATAGGTTTCTACAGAAAACAACAGAATAGTAAATGAGAGGAGTAAAGAAATAATTTAAATTTGCAGTTCTTCCCATGATATTAGGATGATAACCATGTCAAAGCATGTCTGACTTCAGAATAAAAGTTGTTCACTGGCCAAAGCCTGCCATAAAATTAAGGCTTTCAGTGTCTTTATCTGCTTTACTGGCTCTTAATGAAACTTTTGAGGTCTTCAAGAAAAGTAATGTACTCCTGGTGCTCCAAGGCTGTGCTGAGCTCCACCAACTCATCTGCAAAACTGTTGTCCACTCCTCTATCCGCAAGGAAATCCATTAGGTGGTCATACAAAGCCTACAAGGAACAACATTAACTAATTAAAAATGCTTATTAATGAAAACACTTCTTTCCCTCCTTGAATTAGGACCCTCCCCCACGTGCAAGGGCCAAGACCATCCATCCTAGCAAGCACTCACCCAATCCAGGGAATCTGTGTTGAGCGTGTAATTGGTGTCCTTCCATTCGGACTCACCAGTAGACTGAAAGCTAACTTCCCTGATAGAGAAAATGTCACTCTCAGCCTCCTCTTCTTGTCCAACCTGAGAATTAACAGTATTTGAGGAAACTGAAGGGTTTTCCAGGACAAGCCAGACTCAAGCAAAGAAAAGGGACTACTTACTGCTTAAGACACCAGGTTTTAATCCCTTACCCCCACCTCTCTTCTCCTGCGTTAGCCGTCTAAGCTAGAAAGTCTTTTAAGTATGGGCTAAAAGGGACCAGGAAGCACCCAGAGGCTGGCACTCCATCCTCATACCTCATCCTCTGGATAGTGACAGTCTAGCACGAGGGCCTTCTTGCCATCGTTCTTTATAACTTCAACCACGAAATTGGGAGTTGACGTCAGTTCAGGCTAGGAAAACAAGAACAGGTCAATATATGTCATGCTGGAAGGAGCTGGATGCCTGGATCAAAGATCTCAGACAGTTCAGAGTGTCTGATGGCCAGCACTACTAGGAAATTATCTTGCTATTTTAATCATCTTATGCAGCTGGGCATGGTGGCTCACGCCTGTAATCCCAGCACTTTGGGAGGCTGAGGCGAGAGGATTGCCTGAGCCCAGAGGATTGCCTGAGCCCAGCCAGGGGTTCCAGACCACCTTGGGCAACATGGCAAGACCTCATCTCCACAATATATCAAAAAATTAGCTGGGTGTGGTGGCTTGTGCCTGTAGTTCCAGCTACTTGGAAAGCTGAGGCAGAAGGATCACCTGAGCCCAGCAGACCTGAGCTCAACAGGTCGAGGTTGTGGTGGCCGTGAGCGTGCCACTGCACTCCAGCCTGGGCAACAGGGTGAGAATTTTTTCTCATTGTCCATAGTGGCATGATAGGAGCCTAGAATCTTTAACAGAATGCCTCACTTCCGTTAGCACTCTACTTAAAGAACACAGTTTTCAATTAAGAAATCTGAATTCCCGCTCAAGCTATATGCCAATTAACTGAGTTTTAGATCAGTCCCTTAACTGTCTAGGCCTGTTTTCTCCATCTATACAATGCAAAGCTTGCCTAAAGTTCCAAGATATCTTTCCAGCTTGACTGTTTTGAATGTCTTCACTACAGACCAGAATCAAAGGCTGGGGCACCTGGCTAAGTGGCCATCCTAATGTCTGAATCATGGCAGCAGCTTTTCCTTTTGATGGTGAGCTCTGCGAGCAGAATCTGTGTCAGGGAGATGCTAGGTGGGGTGGCTGAGGCAGAAGCACACCAGAGAGCTGTGCTCTCCATGCTAGATCATCAGACAATACTGAACTGATGGCTGCTTACTAGGCCAGGCATACCACTTCCTAAAATGTTTGAAGACTGGGCACCATCCAGGTCTAAACAAGAGGGCCTACAACCTAAGGAAAGATCTCACCTGGCCAGGGGTTAAAATCTGGTATCTTAGGCTTTCTCACCTTGGATAAGTAACTGGTGGGTAATACCTGCTTGTGACACGTTAGGAACATTCCTCACATCAAATGATAATCTCCAGTATCAAACATCTCCCCATCATGAGATAGGTTGAGACAGTTTAAGTCCCTTTATCATTAAGAGAACACAGGCCAAGCTATAAAGACAGAGCCTGCAGATGACAATTTGTTCAGACTCTGGAGAAGAAAGGGGGGCCAAAGCCCTGCTAAAGCTGGCCAGAAACCATTTGCTGCTCTAAAAGTCCCAAGGATGGGTGGGTGTCCTTTGCTTTCTCTCTTCTAGCATTAGAGGAATTTTTTAAAAGCAAAGAAGTTCTTCTCTAAGCCCTCGGGGCAGCCTGTCAGAAGTGATACAAAAGCTACTTACAGTGTTACGAGCTTACCTCCTGTTCTTCAGCCTTCTGCCCTTGTGAGGGCTCCTCCTCACCATCAAATGTCGGTGGAATGCTGTTGTTAATGTTGAAAGTGACAGTGATCCTAGAAAGACAAAAGAAAACAGACAAACAAGGCATAGTTTTAACCAAGTGGGTTAACAGATATGTATACGGTCTTACTACAGTTACTAATGAGAGGGCTTATTGAAAAGTCTTTGTCACAGCTGCCTGTATATCTGGATTATATGCAGAACTTCAAAAGGCTGGGTGCCTATATCCAACCCCAAGACTGATTCAGCAGGTCTGAAGTTCCTACTATGTGCCAGCTGTTGGAAGCCAGCCACATGTGGGATACTGCCACCAGACCAGCATCCCGGGGCTTACTGTCATGTGTCCACTGTTCATCTCATGGCCACAGTCAGACGACACTGCCCACCCTCGTCTTTCTGGGGAACCCTCAGTAAAAGTAAGCACCTGAGAGGCTGATGGGATGGAACAGAAGCCCCTTTAAGAGATTTTCTCAGTTGGGTGTGGTGGCTCACACCTGTAATCCCAGCACTTTGGGAGGCTGAGGTGGGAGGCACACTTGAGCCCAGGAACTTGAGACCAGCCTGGGCAAAACTGTGAGAACTCCTCTCTACAAAAAATAAAAATAATAGCTGGGTAAGGTGGCACGTGCCTGTAGTCCCAGCTGCTCAGGAGGCTAAGCCAAAAGGATCGCCTGAGCCCAGGAGGTTGCGGCTGCTGTAAGCTGTGACAGTGGACTCTGGCTCCAAAAAAAAAAAAAGTATCACAGACTTAAACATAAGAGCTGAAACTATAAAACTCTGAGAAAACAGGTATAAATTATCACAACATTGGGTCAGGCAGTGCTTGCTGACGTGATACTAAAGCAATTGACAAAAAGGAGGGGAACTGTGAACCTCAAAATTAAAATTTTTGTGTTATAAAGGACACTACCAAAAAGTGAAAACTCTCAGGATGGGAGAAAATGCTTATAAGTCATATAAGCTAAGGGAATTGTACCCAGAATATATAAAGAACTCTTTCAGCTCAACAATAAAAAGACCAACTGTCTAATTTTAACATAGGCAAAGAATCTGAATAGACAGTTCTCCAAGGAAGAGATACAAATAGCCAATAAATACGTGAAAAGCTGCTCAACACCATATCAGAGGAACTGAATTAAAGTCACAATAAGATACCACTTCATAGCCATGAGGACAGCTAAAATAAAAAAGATGGACAACAAGTGCTGGCAAGGAGGTGGGATTGTAAAATTGTGCAGCCACTTTGGAAAGAGTCTGGCAGTTCCCCCAAATAGGTAATCATACTTATCCAATGAGCCAGCAATTGCACTCCTATGTATATACCCAAGACAGAGAAAGTAGGTTACCAGGAGCTAGAAAGAAGGAGGAATAGAGTGTGACTGGCTAATAGGTATTTGTTGTGTGGTGATGACAATGTTCTAAAATTAGATAGTGGAGACCTATGCACAACCTTATGAATACTAAGAACGACTTAATCGTATACTTTGACAAAAGGGTATATCTTATGGTATATAAATTAAGTCTCAATAAAGCTGTTATAAAAAAACAAAATACAGGATTACATATATATCATAAGGTCAATTATTTAAGAATACAAGAAAAAAATCACTGAAAGATATGAAATGTTTACCTATATAATGGGGTTATGGATGACTTTAACACAAATTATAAACAATACTTTAAAAGTTTAAGAGGTGGGAGGAGCTGACCTAGCTCAAAAACTCCCCACTTCTTTCTGATAGCAACTTGTCACACTGTTAATCCCATCCTGTTACATGAGTTACATTTCTTGCTTTTTCACCTACTGTAAACATTAGTGAGCAGGGATCTGTCTTATCAGGACTGTAAATCAAAGATCAACCGGATTCTGGCAGTACTTTTAAGAATTTCTCAATTTGCATTCCTATATGTAGGTAGGGCATGACTTCTCACACCAGGAAAGATTTGCTCTACTTTCCAATCAACTTGCGACTACATACTTTTGTGCTACTTTCTGTCTCCTTAATAACAAGCCCACAGCAAATCTGTGTTCATACAGCTTATGAAACTGTCCAAAAGAATCCTGCTCGCTCTCCCTCTCTCTTTTGTTATAGGCGGGGCCTCACTATGTTGCCTGGGCCAGTCTGGAACTACTGGCCTGGGATTGCAGGCATGAGCCACTGCACCGGGTCTTTCTGTCTCTGGAAAACTGTGTATCAAAGTATCCACCTTTACTCAAGGCTGCTCTAGGGAGCCTGAGTTAGTCCCCTGGAGTTCTCAAGTCCCCAGATCAGTACTTACTTTTCCCCAGCAACTTTCCGCACTAATTTAGCTTCTGTTCCATTCACTTCCAGCTCCCAACCTCCAGACATCTTAGGGAGGGCCTTATGCTTCTGGATCTTCTTTTCCTCCTTAATTTCACCATTCAGGAATTCAGCAAAAGCTTTGTCTCCTAGAAAGAAAATCCAGACACAGAAAAAGAAAAGTCAAACATAAAACTATTACACAGGTTACAGAAGCTAGAAATCTGGACTTGGGCTGTTTCTAATCTCGGCTGGTTGCTGTAGAACCTGAGTCTATTTCATAATATTACGCATGTTTCCTCATCTGTAAAAATACAATATTATTAGCGGGAAGCTGAGCTTGATTCTGGGAAAGTGAATCCCAGCAATGAACCCACTACCACCTTTTGCTTATAAAGCAAAATAATTCCCAAGTACCCTCTTTGCTTTGCCGACAGTCATAACTATGCTGCTTTGAACCGCAACCTTGGGCCTTCCCGAAGTTCCATTTTCGAGAGACTATGGATAAAGCTGCCCTCCAATAGTTAACTTAACCCCGGCCCAACAAAATATGGAGCACGTAGTGAATGAGAGAGGTGGACGAATGTGATTGCAAGTAGGTTTAACCCGCTGGGTGCGAATCAACGGGAAAATGTCCCAGACCTCAGGGGTCGATTCCGGGCGATCCACTCCTGATCCCTCCCAAAACCCTCCCCGACCCGAAGCCCCCGGCCCCCGTGCACGAAACTCACCTTCGGTGTGCAGCCCGCCGCCTCCACAGCCGCAGGCGCAGGGCCCGAGAGGCCGCAGGAGGCTGGGCCGCCGCGCCGACCCCGCGCGCACGCTGAGCAGCCCGAAGGGCCGGGCGCAAGGTCGGGGCACCGGCTGCAGTAGCTGCCGG